TTCTAAGGTTCTACCTACGCGTCCATATAGGTGCTCCCAGCATTGTTCTCAGAGCATCATTTTGAGACACTTCCAGTTTCTCCCATTGGTTATCACTGAGGGATGTAAGAGCAGGGGCAGCATAGCCGATGAATGACCTCACTGCTTGAACGTAGTACATTTTGAGTACTGGTAGAGATGCACCTTCTCTAAGACTGGTCAGGGAGCGCAAAGCTGAGTTTCTGGCTTTACAACGTTGCCGAAGATATTCAATTTCTTGAGTGAATTTCAACTGGTTGTCTATTATGACTCCTAGGTATTGAAAAGTGGTAACCCACTCAATTTTTTGTCCTTGTATTGCCAGTCTGATGTCTTGAGTTCTCATTTTAACGGCCATAGCTTTTGTTTTATTGCTGTTTATTTTCACTGCTATGTGTTCCGCTTCCCTGCTGATAATATCTAGGCATTTTTGCGCATGGTTCCTTGCACCTTTGCCATTCATGATGACCACACAGTCGTCTACATAGTTAAGCAGTTTGGGTTTTGCTAACTTGAGCTTCATGAATTGTTCTATGAGACAGTTGAAGAGGAAGGGGCTTAGTATTCCTTCCTACAGAGATCCATTTTCTAGCCTCTTTGAGGACGATATTTTTCCTTGGAATTTGACTGTAGCTTCTCGGTTAAGCAAGCTTCCTTTGGCAAAGGCAAGAGCGTGTCCTTTGATTTCCTTATCCACAAGGCAGCACAGTGTAGCTGGAGCACTGGCTAACTCGAAGGCTTTTTCTAGGTCTAGAAAAATAAGGATTCCAGGTTTGTCATTGATTTGATCCAGGAGGGAGGTAAGGCATTCTGTGGTTCAACACCTTTTCTGTTAGCAAACATATTTTGGTGCAGTGGATTGGCTTACCATTCAATTCGATTAAGAACCATTCTTTCTGTAGTTTTGGCCAGAAAGCTTGTTAATGAGATGGGGTCTTGGATTTCCTCTGTCTTTAGGTTTTGGAATGGGAACTATAATTGCTCTGTTCCAAGAGAGGGGTCGAGTTCTTGTCACCCATACTCTGTTGATGAGATTCAAGAAGGCTTCTTCACCCTTTACTCCTATCTTGGCTAGCATGTTGTAAGTGATTTTGTCCTCGCCTGGAGCTGTATTTTTAGTTTTCTTTGTAGCTTTTCTGAGTTCTTTTAGATTGAAAGGTTGGTCTAGTTCGTCAGGTAAGGCTAAAGCATCATCTATTTTTTCCATCTTGCTGCTTGAAGTCTTTGTTGGTGAGTGAGAGTTGCTCGAGGAAGTTGAGTGGAACTGGCTCTTGAAGCAAATAGATTTGCTAACCTTTTTGCTTCTTGCTCTGGATGAACATGGTGCGGCGGAGCAGGAGGCGATTTTCCTTTGACCTTGTTGATGTCCTCCAGATGTCGCCCAAGGATGTATGCTGAGTTCGCTTGGCACATCACTCGAGCCATTTTTCTTCTCTGATTTTTGCTGTTTCTTCGTGCATATGATCTCGGACAACTCTAAGAAATCCTAGATTAACTTCAGTTCTATCTCTTCTGTAATTCTTTCGTGCACAATTTAGTCTGTTATGTAGCTCTTTGATCCTTTCACAGTAATACCAATGATCGTTGTGTTGTTTGTAATTGTTTTCCTCTTGGGGATGGCGTGATTCGGTGCTCTATGTATTGCATTTACTAAATCTTTTTCCATTTCTTCGGTGTTGTCAGGAGGAGTGTAGTTTTGGTGCCAAGTTTCGAGAGCTTCCTGAAACTTCGTCCAATCTGTTTTGATAAAATCCCATCTGGGTTAAGGAGCTGGAGGTCTAGGAGGTAGTGCTATATTAATAACTGTTTTTGTAGCAAAGTGGTCATTGGTCAGAACATGATCCACTGACCAATGACACAACTCATAAATACTAGTGGAGACAAACGTAAGATCCAGCTTTCCCCCGCCAATGAAGATTTGGTTCCGTCGAGTTAAGCAGACTGATTTCAGGCACTTCATCCAAAAGGTGTTCAATATGTCTTCCGTTGGCGTCGGTTCTTGTGAATCAAGTAGTATTTCACTATGAGCGTGGATGTCACCCGAGATGATAGTAGGTGTAGTGACTGCTATTTCAAAGATTGCAGAGAGATCTATGTCGTGTTCTCTAGGGCTCCTGTATACATTGAAGATGGACAGCATTGAGTTCCTCATAGTGAGATTAACACCCATAATTTCAACGTTCTCGCCACAGTTGGGCAGGTCTGTGATTGCCGTGGCATTGATTTGATTTCTGACTTGAAAAGAATTGAAATGCCTCTGGGGCCACCTTGTGCAGTTGAGCAGTGGAAACCTTGATATCCTAGGATATTGATATATCTTTCAGTCCTTGTGAGTGTTTCTTGAAGTAAAACAATATCAATGTTGTCCTTGAGAAGCACTGCTCTGAGTGTTTGTTCTTTGTTTTTGAATCCTTGAATGTTCCATTGTATAATCTTGAGATTGTCCATTATTCTGTTAGAGTGGAATACATGTGGAATACATTGAGTCCATGGTAGTTTCTAAAGTGCTGATTTCCCCGACGGCTTGTGTCTTCTTGGCTGGAGTGGAGACTGCAATTGGGTGCTGAAACAATTCATTTTCGTCACCTTCTTCAACTTCTACTTCGTCAACCTTTTCAGGTAGGGCTTTTAGAAGTGTGAAAGAAATAAATTCAGTAGACTGTTTTTTGAACTTTGTTATCATTTCCTTTTTTATCTGTGGGTTGGTCTGTTCCAGTGCTTGGAATGTTTTGTAAAACATCTTGCTGAAGGTCTCTGTTAGGGAAGCAATAACCATTGGAACAGTAGTCACTTGATACGCCTTTGGCTGCCTTTCATTTGTCTGTTTAGGTGAGGAGACTTGGTTGGGTCCTAGCGTCTTTGCTACATCCGGCTACTGGGGCATTTGATGATGTAGGGATCGTCATTCGTGCTTGGGAGGTCATGGAGGCAACAGCAAGTGTATTTCTTTTGCTGCCCTGATTTATTCGGTTGCTGTTGCCTTGTGGAGCAGTGCTTTGTTTCCTCCAGTTATTGGAGGCCCTGTTCTCGCTCAGACTAGGAGGAATTGGTGCTTTAGTCTTTTGAGCATTTGTATCTTCATTTATTCGGACTTGCCGAGGAGTGTACGACTGGCTTTTTACCGAGGGTCTGGTCGAGGTTGTCTAGAAGTTGTGACTTTGGGTTGCTGGGTACGTCCGAAAGCTTCTATTCTTTTCACCCTTTCTGGACATCTTTTGTTCCAGGCGTGATGTGTATCCCCGCAGTTTGGACATTTTACTTTCGTTGGTTTGCCTTCTTTTTGCAGATTCTTGCATATGTCGGTGTTGTGGAGTTCCCTGCATACTCCACATCGTTTACAGATGGCCTCTGCAGCCATCTTTATGGTGGCCAGAGCGCTGACATCTGTAACAGCGCATGAGTTCTATTTTGTACAGCCTTAGACTGTATTGTCCATAGATCCCAACATTCAGAGTGTTGATGCGAGGTCCTTTTATTGTTACGAGGTCCTGTCTTGTTTCTGAATTATTGTGCTTACATCTTTCCGCCGTTGTGACATTTGGGCATTCTAAGAGTCTGTTTGCATGAACTTCAACCGGGAAATGTTGTACTATCATTTTGGTGATTTTTTCCTCTGGTTTCAGTTCAACTAGGTCTTCTGCATTCCTGAGGTTTGTAATTATATCTGGATTAGCTGTGGACATGTTATATCTGCCTCTAATGTCGGGCTTGGCTCTAAGATCTGATCCTGGATGATCCTTTTCCAGTGCGGCATTGTAAGCATTAGTGGGACCATCTACTGTTTTTTTTGTTTTGAAGATGGTCCTTGGCATTGGTTTGGGGGGCTGCTCTTGGGTTCTGGCTGGCTTCTAGATTGGTTTCTTCAGGCGTTTCTTGTTCGTTTATTTGCTCTTCCGTTTCCAACAATTTGCCACGGTGGCTCATTGTGAGGAGTAGGATTATCCTGTGATTCAGTATTCCTTTCATCTTCAGCAATTTTCCTTGCTCTTGCTACGAGATCACTGTGTCCTTTTGACGTTAATAATTTCAGAAGGATGGTCAGAAGAGTCATTTCCTGGGGGGACATGGTTGCACTGCACAAATGTGTTGCTGAGGAAGTGATGTGCATGTGTGTGTCCTGTGGAGGTCACGAGGGGAGTGTTTTCCCAGTCTGACTTAACCCTTTTTATACTAACTCGCTGTTTGCTGACGAGGAGTCATAATAACGTGGCTGAAATAACTCTCTGTTTCCTTTAGTATAGCCATACCTTAATCCAACTCAATAGCACCCCCCCCAATACCATGAGCCTCTATTTTTTTAATCAGTCTTTCGTGTGGCACTGCATCAAAAGCTTTGCTAAAGTCAAGGTACACAACATCACAATCCTTACCACTATCAACTGCCTCAACTATGCTGGAATAAAAAGTTAGCAAATTTGTTAAACATGAACGGCCCTTTATACAACCATGTTGTGAATAATTTATTAATTTATGTTTTTCAAGATGAAGACGAATTGTATTTGCAATTATCGATTCAAGTAACTTTCCCACATGATTAGAATTTTAATCAGTCTTTCGTGTGGCACTGCATCAAAAGCTTTGCTAAAGTCAAGGTACACAACATTGCAAACCTTACCACTATCAACTGCCTCAACTATGCTGGAATAAAATTATAGCAAATTTGTTAAACATGAACGGCCCTTTATACAACCATGTTGTGAATAATTTATTAATTTCAGAGTGAAGACGAGTGGTATTTGCAGTGAATTTATTTATATTATGAATAACAGAGGTCCCAGGAGAGAGCCTGAGGCACTCCACTTATAACTTAACCATTCTGACTTAACTCCATTGATACTAACTCTTTGTTTGGCACAGCCATGTGTGTGAGGGTATGGATCTCACCAGCTAAATCTTCTACTAGAGTGTGGGGTGCACGAACGCTACCGTGCACCCATGTACGTAAATGGGCGTGCACTCGGTCTAGATTTGCTAACCTGGACATGAGACATCAAGTGCCTAGGCTCGTTGGAGAGCTGAGGCCGTCAGCACTCGAAATATGTTGTAATGGCTGTTGCAACGCATTTGTAGAAATAGTTATAGAGTGTTTATACAGTTTTTACTGTTTAATAGTTATACAGTTTTTACTGTAAGCTTGGGTGAGTCAAGAGGTTTAGGGCGAGACGTGAGGTATCAGCCGCCTGGGCCGTTTCCATGGAAATCAAGACGGCCGCCGTGACCTCACCCTAGCGCGCCAACCAAGGGAAAGCCGTGATTGGCTGATGGCATCTAGCCCTAGGTGCGCGACACTCTGATTGGTAAGTTTGAGGTGGGACCAGTAGGCCAGCATCCTCGAAACCTGGGCCCAAGACGCTATTCTTCCTTCTCCATTACTCCAAGCTGGAAGTCATTTTCGTTTGGTCGGCCACTAAGTGAAATTTCCGTCTGTAGCGGCACCTAAGTACTTTTTGTATTCTCGCGATATCGACGTGTGTCCATAGAGAACGAGCAAAATCCGGGAACTCGTCGTATTAGCTTGTAATTACAGAAAAGCGTACTAGACTGTAAAGTAAGAGTAAAGACATATGCAGAGGAAATGGACTGTGTTGTGAATCCCCACCTATAATTAACATCGGTCATCATCTGTTCTGGTTAAGCCAATTCGCAGTTGAGATATCTGGAAATACTCGCCAGTGTTAACGGGAGTGTTTCCCGCCAGAAATTCGTGGGAATTTTTTTTCCCGCGTTGGTTCCTTATTGTGTTGTTTAAGGAAGCAATCATCAATTAATTCTAAGAATTCTTCTGCTTCGTTACTTCCTGTTCGGTTAAGCCAGTTTATTCCCTTAAAATTAAAGTCACCGATGACACAAATACTATTAGATTTAGATGCTCTAGATATTTAATCCCAGAGATGCTTTGCTTCCATTCTAAGTTTGGCGGCCTGTACATAAATCCTATTATAAGATTTTTAGCATTTCGTTTAATTCTAACCAAATAGTTGCTGTGTGTAGCTCAGTTTGATTCCCATTTTAAGTCTGCATTTCTAATTTTCCCTAACATATATGGCTACACCCCCTCCTCATCTAATATATCTATCTGCGTGAAGTAGTTTAAATCCGTTTATTTGATATTCAGCTAGTAGTTCTGTTTTCTAAATTTATTCATGTTTCTGTAAGTGCAATAATATCTATTTTTTCTGTGCAAACAAGAGCATTTAAATTGTTTATTTTTTTCTTAGACTCCTACTGTTCATGTATTAAGTGTATAGCTCTCGGTACACTAGAACTTGCTAGAAGTTCTCCAAGAAGAACTTTAAATTTTGTCGTCAGTTATGTGTAAATGATTTGCAAATCTTCCTCAGTATTAGTCCTCTTATGGATTATGGATGAGTTGCTTCAGAGATGCTTAGCGCAAGTTATTTTTCAATACAGTAATCCACACACTTGTAAAAAATATGCTTATTTATTATATTTTCTATTTTGCTTTGACCCAAATTTCGACGTCCTATCAATTTATCAAAATTTAATCAAGGTATTATATTTTGAAAACTTCCGCATTAGACTGAAGCATTCCGTATTATGTATCTCAGGCGGAGAACCTATTACAAGCCTGGAATATGTCGGCAACGGCCGTGTGACGGAGTTTAAATACGGTAAGTTCCTGGGCGAAACCTTCCGTGGGGAGAAACAGCTCAAAAGCCTCATCACCATGGGCGAGGGCTGGGGCCTGCTGGACCGAGCCTTCGCTCTCGTCTTCGTCGACAACCACGACAACCAGCGAGGCCACGGCGCCGGGGGCGACATGATCCTCACCTTCCGTGTCTCCAAGCTGTACAAGGTGCGTGGCCAACGATCCCACGGTCAGTCTCATGCTTTATTCATAATAAATGTAAACAAACAGTTTGAAGATTGATGTAGATTAAGCCACCACAAGAGGTGGCACGGGCAAGAGTAACCGGTAGGGGGTAGATATTCGGAGTGAATGTGATCTTTGGTCGTGTAATATCTTGAAGTGTCTCTTGGCCTCCAACTGTTTTGATTCTTGTTGGTCCGAACACGATTGTAACAATTTTAAATAAATTGAATAATGTATATCTTAAAATTGAAATGGGAAGAAAAGCTGCCACACATTAACATGTCGTTTAGAAACTTAAGTGAGGACTTTTTACTAGCAAACATATATATATAACATTTTAATAATGAGAATTATACTGACTAAATATAACATCAATTTGTTGTAAGCTTCATTGTCTATGAATTAGAAGGAATATATTGTAAAAAAATATATTATTGAAAGACGTAAATCAATGCCAAATTATGTTTTACATAATCTGTAGATTTGTGACTAGCAGAGACCAAATTAATTTTGAGACGACAGGATTCTGAAAATCTTTACTATCATATTGTTACAGGGCAGAGCTGGAAGAAGAGTGATGGAAAATAAGTTTTAGAATAATTTAAATTTATAATATAAATATGAACCCATAATTATAGAGTGGGTATAATTTCAACTCTATATCCAAAGTTTAATGTAAACAGGGTAACATTGGCAGCATATGAATGACGCCGAACATTACAATGGCGTCTAGAAACCTAAATAAGGACTCATTCAAGGACTACATACTGGTATGTAGTCTAACCTAACAGAGCCTAACCTGAACTATTAAATATCAACCTAACAATTTATATGGCTTTATAAAACCGGAGGCGCCCGAACTTCATATTGCTTTTGGTATCGCTAATCAATCATTATCCCATCATTATTTGTTTCCAAATGACTGACTTTATCTCTAAATGGGTAGTTGTGTTGGTGATGGGTAGTTGTGTTGGTTATGGGTAGTTGTGTTGGTGATGGGTAGTTGTGTTGGTGATTGGTAGTTGTGTTGGTTATGGGTAGTTGTGTTGGTGATGGGTAGTTGTGTTGGTGATGGGTAGTTGTGTTGGTGATGGGTAGTTGTGTTGGTGATGGGTAGTTGTGTTGGTGATGGGTAGTTGTGTTGGTGATGGGTAGTTGTGTTGGTGATGGGTAGTTGTGTTGGTGATGGGTAGTTGTGTTGGTGATGGGTAGTTGTGTTGGTGATGGATAGTTATGAAGACCTTGGAAAGGGGGGGGGAGCCAAAATACTAACCTAAGTACAGTGTCTCTAGTCCAGACATCTGAAAATGGAGGGATTAACAGAAAACAGCTGGTTAGGTAATGCTAGGCTAGGTAGCACAAGGTTAGGTAATGCTAGGCTAGGTAGCACAAGGTTAGGTAATGCTAGGGTAGGTAGAAGAAGGTTAGGTAATGCTAGGGTAGGTAGCACAAGGTTAGGTAATGCTAGGTTAGGTAGAAGAAGGTTAGGTAATGCTAGGCTAGGTAGCACAAGGTTAGGTAATGCTAGGCTAGGTAGCACAAGGTTAGGTAATGCTAGGGTAGGTAGAAGAAGGTTAGGTAATGCTAGGGTAGGTAACACAAGGTTAGGTAATGCTAGGTTAAGTAGCACAAGGTTAGGTAATGTTAGGTTAGGTAGAACAAGGTTAGGTAATGCTAGGGTAGGTAGCACAAGGTTAGGTAATGCTAGGTTAGGTATCACAACGTTAGGTAATGCTAGGCTAGGTAGCACAAGGTTAGGTAATGCTAGGTTAGGTAGCACAAGGTTAGGTAATGCTAGGCTAGGTAGAACAAGGTTAGGTAATGCTAGGTTAGGTAGCACAAGGTTAGGTAATGCTAGGCTAGGTAGCACAAGGTTAGGTAATGCTAGGTTAGGTTGCACAAGGTTAGGTAATGCTAGGTTAGGTTGCACAAGGTTAGGTAATGCTAGGCTAGGTAACACAAGGTTAGGTAATGCTAGGTTAGGTTGCACAAGGTTAGGTAATGCTAGGTTAGGTAGCACAAGGTTAGGTAATGCTAGGCTAGGTAACACAAGGTTAGGTAATGCTAGGTTAGGTTGCACAAGGTTAGGTAATGCTAGGTTAGGTAGCACAAGGTTAGGTAATGCTAAGGCTAGGTAGCACAAGGTTAGGTAATGCTAGGTTAAGTAGCACAAGGTTAGGTAATGCTAGGTTAGGTAGCACAAGGTTAGGTAATGCTAGGCTAGGTAGCACAAGGTTAGGTAATGCTAGGTTAGGTAGCACAAGGTTAGGTAATGCTAGGTTAGGTAGCACAAGGTTAGGTAATGCTAGGTTAGGTAGCACAAGGTTAGGTAATGCTAGGCTAGGTAACACAAAGTTAGGTAATGCTAGGTTAAGTAGCACAAGGTTAGGTAATGCTAGGTTAGGTAGAACAAGGTTAGGTAATGCTAGGGTAGGTAGCACAAGGTTAGGTAATGCTAGGTTAGGTAGAAGAAGGTTAGATAATGCTAGGGTAGGTAACACAAGGTTAGGTAATGCTAGGTTAGGTAGCACAACGTTAGGTAATGCTAGGTTAGGTAGCACAAGGTTAGGTAATGCTAGGCTAGGTAACACAAGGTTAGGTAATGCTAGGTTAAGTAGCACAAGGTTAGGTAATGCTAGGTTAGGTAGCACAAGGTTAGGTAATGCTAGGCTAGGTAACACAAGGTTAGGTAATGCTAGGTTAAGTAGCACAAGGTTAGGTAATGCTAGGTTAGGTAGAACAAGGTTAGGTAGAACAAGGTTAGGTAATGCTAGGTTAGGTAGAACAAGGTTAGGTAATGCTAGATTAGGTTGCACAAGGTTAGGTAATGCTAGGGTAGGTAGAAGGTTAGATAATGCTAGGTTAGGTAGAACAAGGTTATGTAATGCTAGGTTAGGTTGCACAAGGTAAGGTGATGTTAGGTTAGGTAGAACAAGGTTAGGTAATGCTAGGTTAGGTAGAACAAGGTTAGGTAATGCTAACCAACCAACCTGATCTTTGCTTACCATTGAACAGTGGTCCCAACCACTCCCTGACAGAAGGAACAGCCTGTTACCTATCGTTCGTTACGGCTCGTGACCCTACAGCAGCCAAGCTTTAGTTACGTCTAGGGATACCACTGCTGCTCTCTTAAGCGGGTCACCAGTATAACCCCATGAATGATAACAGGCACAGAATTAAAAGTATATCTCCCTTAGGACTGAAGAAATATACGTATGCATTTTAATATATATATATATTTCATATACATTTCAATATTGTATATATGAACAGTGGGTCACTATTAAAGCAAACATCAAATATTGTCTCTCCCAGAATAAAAATCTACTACATGACACAACAACAAGTAAAACAGACTTATCTCCCACATGTTACTCTTCCTGGTCCCTCGAAGCTACTGAACTCTCGCTCCGTCGCCACCCACAATTCTCTCCCGTCTGCCTCATCCCAGGATGAGGGATGGAAACTAAGGACTTTTTAATATTTAAAACTAATTGAACAACCACTTGTTCTCAAAACACACAAGAATGCAAATTACAGATAATAGTTACTTACAAAATATATAAGTACAATGCCACGTGTTTAATTACAGAAAATAAACAATTACCTAAACTAAATAAAAGTGACATCTGGAACTCCCAACTGAACAGGTCCAGCTTTCCCGAATCTAACAGGTATTAGACGTGTGCAAAGCAACCGCGCTCCTGTCTCCACTGACGCTGCCACACCACACGATAATTTACCAAAACACAATGTGTGTACATATACAGGCAATGATATAATAGAACAAAAAAATTATTTTAAATTTATATACGTATTCTGCTAGGAGTACTTAACACTTCCACCTCCAAGAAAAAAAATGCAATAGATTGAAGATCAATGGCATTTTTTCAAAGTAAAAGGTATGACACTTGAGATTTATGGTATTAATTACACCAAACATGTAAAAGTAATTAGAACACATTTCTGGACAAAAATGAAAACACTCCAAATATAGTCTTACAGGAAACTCAGAAATTTCAGTCTTATGACTATGTTCTACATATGTGTCACTGGAGTATGCAAATTTATCTCTCCAAGGTACTATCTCATTTATTTCACTTTGTTTCAGATCATATTTCACACTCCTATCTACAACAGTATCATTAGTAGCATGAATAGAATTGTCAATAAAGGTAGCTGCTTTCACACAGTTATCATGGCAATTTAGCTTTTCATATGTTTCTACTATTTCTCCAAGATCAGTTCCGTATTTCCATGTGATCCCTTTTCCACATGGTGAAGTTTTCCAAGACAGACTCCATTTTCCATTACTCCTTTTTTCTGGAGCTGAACTGCTTAATTGAAGCTGACTGGATGTTGAGTAGATTTGGGACTTCTCCTGGGTATGCTCTGACACAGACATCTGCTCTTCATCACTCTTGATCCTCTGTGGAACACATACTCTCGCCCAATGGATACTAAAATTAGAGAAATTAGCATTAAACCTCACAATTATGCATAAGACTTTCCCATTCATAGAACCTTCCGAAACACAAGACACCGACTTAGCAAACCTTTGACCTTCAAACCAAGAAATACAACCCAAGATAAGTGCAAAGACTACCTGATCGAACTGACTCAGATGATCCATAAGGAACACAGAAATCAATTGCCTCATAACTCTGTCATAACGATCAGTGAAAGAAAACAGGCATATGCCTAGGCACCATATCTCAATCAGAACTCCGAAGACAAGTTCACACCCTCTGATGGTGAACTTGAACACAACACACACTTTCATCAACCGTCTAGTCTGCCAAAAGACTAAATAAAACATGCCGAAAACTTTACAACCCTCACCATCACTTTCCAAGTGATTTACGTCTGATGACAACCAATCAACCAAGAGGTTTAAGGGTCTTAACATCTTGAAGATGCACAGCAGGTTACCTGGGAAACACCCAAGGTCAATCTGAAACCCTTCACAATGATTAACTCTA